TTTGTAACGCCCCTATTCCCACCACCCTACGCCAATCACTCGCTCGACAGGGCGGCAAAGAAAACCGTCAGATCATTTTGCCGCTCCCTGTATATAAGGATTGCGTTAGATTATATTTATTGTAGGGGTTGGTACTTGCCTTTTTTGGTCTACTTTTAACAATCATTTGTAGATGAGTTAGTTCGAGGATGTGAGCTGTGTTCCAAGTTTTGGAATAGACTAACCATGGAGTATGTTTAATCTTTTCCATTTTAAATTTGCTTACACTGTCATCTATGTACATTCTTTGTAATTTAATTCACATAAAAAACAACCCTCTTAAAATTTTCTAGCTATTCGTATCCATACAACACGAGGCACAAAAACAACCTAGTCACACCTCAAATCAGACTTTCAAAAACTTTAAATAGCCATTTTTACATCCAACATATTTTCTTCAACAAGCTACCCACTTTTTTTCGTGAACTACATTTAAAACAATTAAAAAGAAAAATTACTGAATTTTTAAAGTCAAAAGCATTCTACATGCAGGAAAAATTTTTAAATAGTGACATATCATGTTTAGATTCTAAATAGGATATTATATATATTGAAATTTATAATTGACTAGCTGGCCCGACAGACGTCGTCCTGTCCTATTGTGGTTTTATGTCACATACTCGTTCATTTTCAAGATGAGCTCGTTCGCATGGCTCAATCCAAGACCCCACTACACTACTAGGACTACTAAGTAGTGTAGTGGGGTCTTGCTCAATCACGTCCTGGTTGAAGTTCGTTCGCTACGTTCACTCACCTTTAGGTTGGAGCTCTTTCGCTGCGCTCACTTGCCTTCAGGTTAGCTCGTTCGCTACGCTAACTCGCCTCCAGGTTGAAGTTCGTTCGCTACGCTCACTCACCTTTTGGTTGGAAAGTAGCTGTTGTCATAAAAAAAATAATAGTGCTGCACCCTGTTGGTAATACTTGTAACTTTTATGTTATTGAACATCATAGAACAGAACCAACTTTTTTAATTGTAACAGCTGTTAAGATTCATTAATTACTTTAAAATATGAAAAATCATAAGATTAACATGGGGAACTACAGAGCCACTGGGGCGGAGCCCGAAAGGGTTTTTGAGATAAGAATATGCTTTAATGTTAATCGGGAATGTGAGCTATCATCATGCCAAATTTCAGCCCAATCCGTCCAGTAGTTTATGCGTGATTGAGCAACACACACACACACACACACAAACATACACACAAACTCACAAACTTTCAGATTTATAATATTAGTAAGATGTATGATCTATTTTTAAGTACTATTGTAACAATGCCTATTACAAAATGTTATTTTTAATGGCTGCAATAAATCTTATTGAATCTATATGGGTTTGGTGAAGTCGGTGAATTAATGTCAAATCAAGTATTAAAAAAATGTGTACAGGGTTTTTACTTTGATGTACATATCTAGCTAGGGCGAACAATGCATCTAAGCCTCTCTACATACAAAGCATGCGGAAATACAACAGTGCCATCATAAATGCATGATTTGTTGCCAACAAAGCCCGACTAGGTTATGAATGTAGTTCACCAAATGTTTAATTATGTGATCAAAATGGCCAAGCCAATTGACTGGGCTCGCATATCAATAAAGTTCAAGATTTACAGCAACCTCAAGCACGATTTCACAAAACTACGCAATAAGTTAATCAATTAGAAACTAATAAGTACACGATGTTAAATACATTAGTCAATGTATCAAGAGAATAAATCAAAATTGCATAAACAAAACACATGAAACAATTATAAGACCCCCAAAAAAAACCTTTTGGACAACCTATAGCCGATAAATGACAGGAAGTACTTCGTTCAACGAATTCATCAATCACATTTTTTAAGGTACACAATCGTCATTATTGCTTATTCTTCCTTCTTTTGACTAAGATTTTAATAACTCCACTCTATCTATTGCAGCTAGCTGAATTTACATAAAACCTCAAGAGTAACATAATTTCGACGGGTTTCCCCTAGTTTTCATATATTTCTTTTATGATGTTTATTCTATTCAGATTACTGCGAAATATTTAGTTTAAGATCGGGCATTAAAATAACCCAAATTGCAAGTTGATCCAGAAAGCCAAAAGCCAGAAGCTACAAACTAAAATTTGCACTTGCACGACCTTTCTTTCAATATCTTAGACGTTTGACCACCTTCCTCAGTTGTTTTGATGTTCATCTATTTTTTCTTGGCCAAAAAATATCTATTTTATCTTTTTTTTCTTAATAGTTCTTCACTGTTCACATAGGTACTGATTTAATTGCTTCTTCCCAAATGATCCTAGGCCTCTGTATCAGATGGTAATTTTCATTCTTTCTCTTCCTTAGATAACATTTTGACTGAACCAATTCAGAAGAACGTCATATCTTAAAATGTCAAGAAAGTTGATCACATGATTGTACTGATAACTGTAGGAAATGGTTGGAGGAAGGCTGGGGGGAAAGTGATATTCATAGATATGAATAACAGCACACAGTGTTAGTGTTGTTATATCCATGGGGACAATACTCTGTGTCATTCTACCACAGTGCATGTATTTCTTCCTCACCGACACTGGGAGCCAATAAATCTCATGATTTAGGTATGGTAGAAGTAGTTTAGTATGGTAATTGTATTTTCTCAATACTTCTTACTAGAGAGGTTGGTGTGTATAAGATTTTACCAACACTCCCCCTCAACCAAGAATCAAGAATCAAGAATTTATTGCAACAAATTACAAAAAGAACATATGAACATATAGTTGAGGTCAATATGAGAGTAACTTAGGCTAAGAAGTCTCAGTAATCTGCAAGGATAAAGTCCAGTGGTTATTATATCAATTAGGGCCTATAACATTCAATAACTTAGGCTACTTTAAATAATTTAAACAACAAAGTAAGTTACTGATTTAAGGCCTACATCAGTCAACGGCAGGGAGAAAGTATGTGTCAGAATGCTGATACCGTTTGTTTGTATTTTCCACCAAGCGCTTTTGTCTGTATTTTTAGCTTTTGTCTGATGGAATCGTATGTGCATTGTTTTTGCTGAGGTTCCTTTTAATTTGTTGGATTGATTTTATTTCTATGGGTGAGGTTTTATTTTCCTTGTTTGTATAGACTACAGCAGGAAAAGCTGATTCTTCTATTATAATTTACATTTATTATTTATTCTACATACGAGGGCAGTTCGGAAAATAACCTCCGTTTGCTTCTTGCGCGGGAAATAGAGGGGGTAGCGCCGCCATTTTTGCTCCTGCGCATATTGCAAGTCAGTCGGCGTCCAGCCGTGGTAGTGTGAAGGTTGTCCGAGTGCTAGGTTTTTTTGCCGTCGATGGTAAATACAAATAAAAAAAAAAACAATTTAATATGCTGAAGAAATTTTGTATTTTTATGACCAAAGATGGTGATTCACTTATGCAATCCAAATACAGCCTGAAAATTTAATTAAACAATTCCCAAGTTTTTAAGTTGATTGGTTGTTAATGTATTTAATCTTAAAATGTGTACAATAATTTAGGACTACCCTGTATTTTTTACCATTATTTTTAAAGCTAATAACTTTTAACTAAGTTGAACATTTGCATGGTGCTTAACTATACTCATAGTAAAGCAGTGTTAAGGAAACTATTATAGTTAAAAGTACAAGCCATTGTAAACACTAAATCTGGCATTATTAGAGTAATTAGCACAATGGAAATTACATAAGTTAATTTATTAACTTATCTATAGGGAAATTAGCTATTAGGTACGGTATTGTAGGTCTCATGGTAACACCTGACTCCGGGACCGATTTACTTTTTCTTTTTGATGTCCTCAGAGGCAAAAGCACCATCCATTCAGATTCATTTATAATTACTTTTACATATGTTTTAATTTGGGTTGAGTACTAAAAACACCCTGTATGACTGTACTAACTTATTAATTTTAGGATTAGATTAAATGTTCCAAGTTACTTTAAAAATTATAAGCGGTTATAAGCAGTTTATAAGCGTAAATATATATTTTAAGTGTTATAAGACGTCTCTTTTATTTACTTTCCGTAAATTTAATAACACATACAATGCTAATCAAGAAGTTATTTAGTGAAACAATTTAAGAAATTCAGTTACCCAATGTGTCATCTTAATTGCCATACACTGTACATACAAAGTATATATGACTAGGATTGTTTAATTTTATACAAAAAAACAACTAAGTCTAGGCTACCTAAAAAAAACTTTGTTTTAGTTATGGTTTGATACTTAAAAAAATAATTTGTCCACTATAGGGTTTTGCCACATGAAGTGGTTGGGAAAAATATCATTAGACTACAACATTTAAGCAACACTTAAATCCATCCAGTTAAGGCTATAGTATAGATTAACTTAGTAGTTCATTAAAGACCCATTAACGGTTTGTTTTGGTTAGTAACTGAAGTAAAGGTACATATAACATGTAATATAGTTTTTGAGGTAAACTGACATTATCTTAAGTTGTAGTTTTATCAAATTCATATAACATTTCAATTGGCTTAGTCAAGTCTTTTACATCGTAGTAAACATGGGTATCGATATCCCATTGGTTGACTATTGTTTCTTCATAATATTGCCAAACGGCTTAATCATTTTCAAAATAAACTTATCACACACTTTTATAGAAATTTCTATATTTCGGCATTAGCCTTCTTCAGGAACAAACACAATAACAAATAGAAGTGTTTACCACTCTGAATCATATGGTTTTAGCAAAAATCCAAAATACATATAATTTATGAAGAAGTAAAAAAGAAAATGTTTTGATAGAAAGAAAGAAAAAATTTTATATATATATATATATATATATATATATATATATATATACTATCTCAAATTTAGACCGGAAGGTGTTTTAGATTTAAAACTAACCATTGGTTGACTATTTTTTTTTTGAGTTGACTTTTCTTGTTCGTTGTCCATTTTCGGCTAACTATCGTATTGTTGTTAATTGTTGGTTTAACTGTTTCAGGTGTTGGGTAGAGGTCACGCTGAGAGAGCTGGACTGAGAGTGGGTGATATGGTTTACGCTATCAACAACAAATACATCAACAACTTTACGCACAAAGATGCACAAAATGAGATCCTCCACACTGGCGACACTTTGACTTTAAACATCAAAAGGTACAGTAGGTTTTAACTGTTTTAAGTTGTTAGTGCTGACTTTTTTACAGAAATGTAGTGTGATTTATTTAGATGCTCAAATGTTTAATCTATCAGACATTTTTAGGGAAAACAGTCCAAATCTCTCAAATGTTTTGTGGCTGGCAGGAATCGAACTCTTGTAAGTCCAAGATACTTATCACTAGGCACAACACCTGTCATTGTTAGAAATAATTTACAACCATCGTTGTAAATCATAATGGACTTGCTCGTCATTCAAGAATTATTGAAATTGATCTTCTGTGGACTTATCAATCACATTGATTTCTTGGGCAGTAGAACAATTGGCACACATGTTTAGCTCATTTGGAATAGCACGGCTGGCACAACCACTAGAGGGGATTAAGAAGGGTCAACCTGTAAAGTTCGGAAAGGCACAATTGGCACAACCACCCGGTAGTAGCAGTAGGTAGTAGGTAGTAGCAGCCAAGCAGCCAGAATGTGGGAAAAGAAAAATAGTGATTGTTTTGTCCTCATAAATTCCCTGCCGTGGTTCTTATTGAATTAAGCAAAGTTTAAGTTTGCGCGACAAACCTGCAGCTACGGTTACTGCACTAGGTGTATCCAAATAAACCCATACTAACGTAACCTATCTAAACTGAACATAACCAAACCTAAAAAACCTAACCAAACCTAACCCAAACTAACCTTTACAAATGTGTGATATTACCATTGGTGCAGACAAGCCTTGTATGGTTTTTGCACCTATTGTATAATATGCATGTATTCATTATAGTTCAATAAATAAATTGATTGATTGATTGATTGATTGATTGATTGATTGACCAACAAATGACTGTCGTGCAGAGCTGATGAGAAATTTTCAAATTCCCGTTTTACCTCGTTCGATGGCGTCTACCTGGTCGAGCGGTTGTGCCAATCGTGCCTTTTCAAAGCAGGCGAGTTGACCTTACTTATTCCGCTCAAATGATTGTGCCAATACTGCCATGGGCAGAAGGTAAAAAAATGTGTGCCAACTGTCCCGTTCCCATTTCTTGTGCAACTATGACATTTTGCTGGATTTGATGAATATACTTGCTCAAAATTTAATTTCTGTAATCTTTAGGACGCTTCATGTAGAAGTAGATTATCAACAGTTGGTCTTATACGTATTCATTTACTCTATTCAACACAGTTATGTTTATTTAAGAATACAGAATGTTTTCACTTGGAGTAAAAGCTACAAAAGATGCTACTCCATTTTACACACATCTTTCAATCATGGTCAGGTTATAATGTGCAGAATTAAGTCCCTGTCTCAATGATAATATTGTTTTTTAATATTTTATATTTGGCTGATTTCCAGAGGTCATGAAGAAAGAAAAGGCACACCACTTCCTGATTATACTGATCCTGTAAGTATTTTGATTGCTGTTAAATTATAATTTAAATCAAGAGTTTTTAAATGTAAAATAACTTCCATGAATAAATTAAAATCATGTCTTGAATTGAAAATGCATAAAATATGTTAGATTTGGTTTTGTTATTGAAACTGGTGTTTTTTGTAGATTTACATCGCAATAAAGTCACAATCAGTGTTTATAAACTTTATACAAACTTTACTCATATAATTTTATTGATTGTAAAACATTCGCAGAATGGATACTAGTTTAGAAATGACAAGCTACTATTTATTCATCTGAAGAAAAATAGTTGATCAGTCACATTTTTTAATTCATTTAACCAACCAACTTTACAAGCATTAAATATTTTTCACAATTCTTGATCAAACAATACAATTAATCTTCTTTAATCAGTGTAAATTTAATTTTGTTTACGACTGAGTTTGGGGCTTTTTGTGTCGTTGTAAAGGTCCAGTGTCGTAACGATTTGTGTACCAAATCTAGAAAAATTTTGCCAGTAGGCATTTTTTTGGTCAAAAGGGACCAAAAAATGTAGGGCTGTTGAACTTCTAAAATTCCCTCCATTTCCTTCCCCCCACTTTCTACCCAGATTAAGTTAAGGACCTAGAATTTTTCTGTGTATGTCTAATAATATTGTATGCACTTTTAGTTAAATAAATAGTGATAATTGCTTTAAAGTTTTTGAACGCTTTTCAGTTAATGGGTATAACAGTTCCCCCGGAAATGCCGAGACCCAAGCCTGTTCCACTTCCACCGTACCAACCTCCGCCACCCGTCATGAAGGAACCAACGCCTCCAGAATCGGAAGACGAGGCTGAGGACACTGTGGCAGCCTTCAATGTCAAAATCAACCCGAAAGGACGCATTGCAGAAATAGAAGAACTCCCTGTCACTCCCCCACCATCCCCTACCAACAGAGGACGATCCCGGTCAAGATCAAAGTCTAAAGACCGAAGACGTTCACAATCTTCCAAACGAGAAACAACAGCTGCTCAAAACGGTTTTGTACCTGTCCAAAATGGAGTTGAACACACCCAAAACGGGTTTGATCACACCCAAAATGGTTTTGAAGGTGTCCAAAACGGCATACACGGACCAGGAGAGACGTTCACGTACACTAAAGAAGTGATAACAAAGTACTCAACTGTAATGTCTGCGTCGGACCCTAGCGATGGAAATGTTTCGGAAACTGTGAACGAATCTTTTGTCATTCACGGTGGGTCCACACACAAAATGGAAGGTGAGTGATCTTTTCCCTTCCAAAAATATCTTTCAGTTTTGATTTTGGAAAGTTTTCCTTGCACCTGTGTATTTTGAGGTAGAGTATCACAATTTGTGTAGTAAACAAAAAGATTTAAATGTAAACATTAGTTTGTTTAGTAGATCTGCTTTTACTTTGTAAAATCTACATTGGTTAATAAAAAAGTTTAGTCTTCAATGAGATTTTCTTGTAGATAGTAACCTCATCTTTTGCGTACTAAAGTGGAGATGATTTTGTTTTCAATTTCAAGAGTTTATTACAGTAATTGACATAAATACAATACTGATCTTAAGTTTCTGTTTCAAGTAAACTGTCAGACCAAGCAGTAACATCATATTTTTAATAATTTTGTAAAACTACTTTGTGGAAACTGTCATATTTTGTTTAATTTAATTTAAGTTGACGATAAACGTAGCTTTATAGTCATTACTTGTAATTCAATGATTTTTTTTTGCTGTAGAAAACCCTTTTTTTGTTTAAAAGTAGTAACAACTAGCTTGCTTATTTGTGTGGTTTGTGTGTTTTTACACTATTGGCTTTTTAAAAACTTTTTGTCCAAACCCCAGTTTTGTAACTATTTAACGTCAACCTTATGTTAGACAGCGACATTTATTGATAGACCAATGACAAATGGTGTCTGGGTACGAAATTGACCTTGCATAGAATGGACAATTGAATATGTGAACATGCTTAAAAATGTGATTAATTGTACTTTTACAGTACCTTGCAGTGTTTAGCTTTACATATTCTACTGAATCATAAACATGTTCCCTCGAACATTTAGGTATTAACAGTGAAAATAATTAATCTAGCCAAAATCTGTATATTTTACAGAAGTTGTCAACCAAATAACTATAACACTCTTTTCACACTACACAGTTTTTGCCGTACAGTTAAAAACCATATGTGTATTTTTTTATTAGTGTTAGGAAGAGCACAGGAGCTCTCACAATACACGGTTACGGTGATGGGAGCAAACCATGCCTTATAGCATCCTTCCACTGCCACTGTACTGGACAGTTGTTGCGTCAGTGGCTGTGCGTCAGTGGCACATGTAGTTAAATGCAAGTGTTCACACTGCTCGGCTTTTTAGTCGAGCTCACCAGTCAGTGCAAGTGGAGCAGCTGTTGCACTGTTTAATGTTTAAAATCCAGGTTGTTAAGTGGATACTTTTTATGTTTATTTATTGGGGCATTGCAAACATTCATCTCAACCTTCGCTCAGAAACCATGTAATATGACAGAGACATAGCCACAGTGAAAATCAGTACGGTTTTTAACCGGACGGCAAAAACCATTTAGTGTGAAAGGAGCATAAATCCAGAGATATTTTTTCACAAACTAATGGACACTCCTTTAGAATGCATTCAAGGAAATCTTGTGCTTATGGAGATATTATCAGTTATCCATACACTGCTACAGATAAACAAAATAGGCTACTGATTTTCCAGTTTTTAGGAAGTTATTTTAGTTCACAGCATAAAATACAGAAACAATCATCAATTTGTATTTTAGATGTACTAAGTCCAGAAGATATTGAAAGAGATATTTTTGAAGAGAAAATGGAAGAACAGAAACTTACAGAACTACTAACAGGGGAGGCAGAAGTTTTGGACCAAGGAGTGGTGGGGTAAGCCTAAAACTTTTAACGTTATTAAGTTGTAATACCGGAACAGTTTTTTTGAAGAAACCCCTTTGCAAAAACCCGGTTAGCTCATTTTGCGATTGTTTGTGTGTAAACCGGTGTGCTTAATGGACCTGATACCCATTGGTAGTTCCTCACCTTAATATGATATTGAACTGTTTTCACATAATTTAGTAGAAAATAAAAACAATCCTTTAACCACTCCATAAGCTAGGTGATAGAAAAAATTAAGATTTTTTTGCGTATGGAGATCCTTAAATTTGATGAAATAGTTGAATGGTTCAGAAGTAATTTACACCTATTATTATTGTTTAGAGTGTTTTTCAAGTTTACTAAATTCAGGAGAGAGAAAAAAGTGTGGGGGGGGGAGCAAGAGGAAAGGATCGTCAAGGATGTGGAATACTCCATGTCAGTGGGTGGTCTGGAAGCTCTTTGTAAAAATTTACATTCTAGAATTTTAAAACCTAAACAGTAATTACATTTTTGCTTCAACTGTTTTCCACCTTTGAATAAATAACGTTCATTCCACCCAACTTTCATATGGTACCTATATTTTACCGTATTATGATTATGCTAATATTTTACCGTATTATGTGGATCTAATCTTTACAATCAAAAACTCTAATTTTCAACAAACAGGTAATGAAACCATTTTACACTTATGAGGCTACAACAGTAATTCGGAAGCCGTTCTTTTTAAGATTCTTTTTAAGACTTTTTAAGATTATGCTGTAGAAAATCCTGCCTTAGAAATTACCGAATGTTTTTATTCTATTAGGAAATGGGTGTCATGCAATTAAAGATTATCCAAGTTTAGATAAATTACCAAAACAGCTTTCATTGGATGAAATAAATATCATAAAATGGAGTAGAGTTGAAAGTTAATTTTATGCTGTAGATAAACTGAAAACTACTAGGGTAGATTGTAGACTAACATTCAAATTTACATTTCATACCATAAAGATTAACTTAATTCAAATTCCATGGACACCATTAGATGATGAATTTAATACTGCCAAAGGTTAATTGAATGCAAATAGCTTAGATAATAATCAGACAAATGTCATACAACACTAATATTAACTGAATAAAAGCATTTATCAAAGATAAATTTCATGCCTTCATGTCTAACTGAATGCTAATAGAGTAGATGTCTTTAGAAGAAAAGTTTCATATGATTGGAGACTAACAGGTTGAAAATAGAGTATACAATCAATATATGATGAATGAATGTCATGCTATCAAAGATAAACTGAATGCAAATTGCAAAGAGAATGATAAAAAAATCAATTTCATACCATCAAAGACTAACTGAACATAAAAATAGCTTTAGAAAATAGACAGAAGATTCATTTTAACAATCAAAGACTAACTGAATGCAAGTAGTGTAGACACTTAAACAGCGTAGACGATTGCTAGACGATAAACTTCAAAGCATCAATGATTAACTGAATGCAAAAAGCATAGACACTCACAAGAAAATAGTGTAGACCATCAAAAACTAACTGAATGCAAATAGCTTAGAAAATTATTGGGTGAATTTCATACCATACTGTTTGGTGAGAAACTCATAAACTCTTTCATATCCTCGAAGAGTGACTGGATGTTTTTCTTGTCAGACGGGATGCTGTGTCATTGGCTATCCTCCTTGCAGGATTGTTCCTCGAGGACTCTTGGCAATGGGGCTGCAGCATTCTGTGACAACTGTAGACAAGAGCAGTAACACGGATAAACCTGTCGAAAGCGTAATCGGTAGAGATAACTCAACTGTGATCTTAACAACACCTATTGGCGAGGAAAGTCCAATTCATGCAGTTGACATTGTTGAGATTCAAGAGGAAATCGAAGTCAAAGTCTTAGCACAAGATTTGTCTGACAGTGAAACTCAGAACACTCTAGAAGCTTTGGAGAACGTTGATATCACAAAATTTAAAGATAATGTTAGTGATACTTGTGAAGTTCAAGGCGATTTGGGAATTGATGACATTACAAGAAAAGAAATAGTTCAAAATGACTTCAAAATACAAGAATCTTTTGATGTTAATTTTCTAGAAAATAAAGGAAATGAGATTAGTTTGGGCGAAGAAGGTGCAGTAAATATTGCTGAAGGAGGAACTGTTGAAAAATCAATTGGGGATCAAATATTTAAGCGTGATGAACTTGAAAAGGAAACTACTGAGGGAATCGGGGTAAAAAATGAGGAAACGGATATTTCAATTACTCGGAACAATGAGTCTATTAATTCTGAGAGACCAACAAATATAATTGCACAATCTGGCTTTGTAACTAGTTCTCCTCCAAAACAGATTGCCAAACATGGGTCATCTTGTATTATACTATGAGATTTTGCGATAAAAACCTGTCTCTTTTCCTTTTTTACCAATTAGAATACTGTATTTATATATTTCCAAATTTTGATTAGATGTTTTGATAATTGTCCTATCTTCGGGAAGAAAAGAATTCCCACAAAATATGAAGAATAATGTAGTAATAAAAGTAATCAAATAAATAATAATGATATTAGTATTGTTTTATTTATCCTTTTTTATATTGTCATGTAAATTGTTAACAAAATCAGTATATTTTAAAGCACGTGCCAATTTGTAACTTAGTAAATGCAAATAGTTTTTAGAGACAATTTATGTAGTGTCACAACAACCAAATTACACACATATAACAATAATAAGTAAATGCATGTGTAAGCTCGTATATTTTAACTTTGAACTTCTAATCTAATTCGTTGCGTTTCATTGAATTTTTGTGTTTGATTCAATTTATTTGCGTATAATTTTGTAACGGTTCAAATTTTAATAGGGGAGAGGTAATATTTTCACGGTCATCCCAAACACGTCGGTTTGGTTCACACAAATTTGAATCATAAGTGTGAAGTGATATTGTTTGACATGTGTTAAAAAAAAATTGTGTTGGGGCATGACTATTTGGAAAGTGATGAGGAACAGATGCCTCGTCTACTCAAAAGATTATGTTTACAAATCAAATTTACAGCAGAATGTTAGAACTAAAAATTTGTATTACAAATTATAAATTAACTAGCAGAGTACCCGTCCTTCGTACGGGGTTGGCATATAAGTTTAAAATGCTTATTGCAGTTATACCCAAGCGTTACGTTTGCAATGGGGGAGGACAAAGTTTGATAAAATTAGCTTCTTTAAATTTACGGTATACTAAATGGTATTACGCATCTACCATAGTCATATTGTTCTACCACTTCATCTAAACAATAAAGAAAAATAAATTATTATGAATTCACAGAAAATCACAAATTATTCATGACATTAAAAACAAAAACATTACTGTAAACAATCCTACTTTGACAGTTCTCACTGCGTATCACAGTTTTTTGTTACTGCTTAGTTAAAATTAGCTGTTTACATAAATGATAAAAAACTATAATGCTGCTGATGAGATTGGTAAATATTATAACTTTTTAATGCTTTTGTATATCATAGAACCAACTTTTTTAGTTGAAACAGCTGACTAAATTCTTAAATTCTCTTTAAATATGAATACTCATAAGGTAATCATGGGGAACTACAGAGCCACTGGGGCGGAGCACGAAAGGATTTTTGAGATAAGAATATGCCTATATGTTAATCGGGAATGTGAGCTGTCATCATGCCAAATTTCAGCCCAATCCGTCCAGTGGTTTATGGGTGATTGAACTTCAAACAAACAAACAAACACACAAACTTTCACATTTATAATATTAGTAAGATTGGTATAAATTAAACTATAAATAATTGCTACTGTAAGAAATGAAATCTTTCTGAAAAGATCCAAAATTAATTGCCACAAGTAATACCATAGACTAACCAACACAAGTAGACTTCTCATCCCTTTGTAAATTTTGAAGCTCGTTTTTCATGTCTAGTTCATGTACGTGACACTGGGCGCTAGTGTCGACGAAATTTTGTTTCTATTATTTTAGGGTTAATTTCTTGATTTGTACTTTACTGTTTGGTTAAATAACTAGGGTACAATTTATTGTTTATGATTAGATTGTATTATTTGGCTAAACGAGGTTTTAAATGACTGTATTAACAGGAAACAAATTGTAAACAAAACACAACCTCTACATAAACCGTACAGAACTAACAATAAAATTGTCTTCAGCTGTTCCATTAGGATGAGAAATCTACTAAGGGAGTATGTTTTTATCTATGGTAATACTGAGTTTAAATACAACCATGAAAATGTAAAAAATATTATTGTGTCAATTGAAAACTTACATTGTTGTTTTTTACAGTATAAACTTTCAGAAGATCATCCCCAGAACTGACTTCATCAAAGATTCAAATGTGTTTAAGGTAAATTATTTTTTCCAAAATGATTTATAAATTGAAATAATCATGTATATTACTGTGCAAATTCCCTGTATATTTTGTAAAAATCATTCATTGATGCTGAGCTTGGTTTTATAGTGTTTTAACATAATATTTTCAGTTGATAATAATATACTAGAATAAAGTATTGCCTGATTTTCATCATAATACTGAACAACTAAACTGTTTTGTTGATAAAGAAGACAAATATTTAACTTATCTGATATTTGCCGATAAATAATAAAAATAATAACTATTTCCTAACTTGTTTGTTCATATCTTTAATATTTTTGCATGTAAATATTTAACCTTGCAACTCGATTGACTAACAGGAACTTCAAGGAGAAGTCTTAAAGAAGGAGGAGTCAGAAGAGGAACAGCTGAAAAAAGATCCAAATAAGAGGTTTTCAACATTCTTACAAACGCCTAAGAGGCCAATACCAAAACCAAAACCACAGCCACCACCAATAGAAGACTTACCTTGGAAACACCGCGTGCCTACGCCAATACTAGAATCTCCACCAGCTTCACAGGTCATACAGTCATGTTTTTTCTTTTTAAAATTTCCACTGTCTTTCACTATGTACAGAACTTGACATTCCAGATGATGTTGTCGCCAGTTTTTCAATCGTGAACGTAGTGGAACTGGGGGACTGACAGAGTGAGCTGAACTAAAATACCGATTTCTGTCAGATACACAAACTTTTTAACCATGTAAAATTACAGTCGAACCTCTATAAGATGGATTTTAAGGGGTAGGAAAAAAAATATTGTTTTGAGGCATTCTTTTAAAAGAGGTTTGTTTTATCGAGATTTAATACTGCCGTTATTCGTCTTATAGAGGTTTTTACTCGCTCTGAGAGAATGACTGAGGAAGAAAGAGGGATGGGTGGGGGTTTCATGTTGAGACAAGCTTCTATTTGTTTTGAAAACTACGTACTATAGAGGTAAAGATCATGAGAAATTCATTTTATAGAGGTCGCATTCGTCTTGTAGAGGTTTTGTGCTAAGAATATTTTTTGTATGAAGGTTAATCAGTTCTAGCCCATGCCACAAACAAATTATCTTATAGAGGTTTTTAAACCAATTACTACGTTACACAGAGGTGTTTTTAGCATTGACCTTTATGAAAGGTTCATACTAACGAGGTTTGACTGTAAAACAACTTATTGCAAGCTATAGCATCTTTTGTCACATCGACTATTTCCATAACAAAAACTAGGGGAAACATAAAATTTTAGACTGAAGTTATGCTCAATGAGTGGTTCATTCAGGTATGTTCTTTCAATATAAAAATTTTGTGACAGCTGGTCGATGTAGATGGAATGTCTAGTTCAGTATCCAAAAGTCAACGGCACTGCAAAAAGTATACTCAAATTTAATCATACAAAGTTTTTAAAACAAAACAAAATTTTCATAACACTTTGTATTTTGAGACATTACAAGAGTTTTGAACCAAATGCTTTGATGTACAACAAGAATAGCAGTTGCAATTTAATAATGTGTATGTTGTGCTCTGTAGCGAACGTGCACATCACAACGTGAAGTGTTTTGAAAACTTGGGAAACATATTCATTTTAAGTCTTATTCAGAAGCCTTCTTCAAAAAGCTTAGAGCATAGACGTAAAATTAATATACCACAGTATTTTTTCAAAATATATTTTTTCATATATTCACTATTTATTCTGACAGTTTTACATAATTGATCATTGCATGCTTTGTCGACTCATAGTGTGATTTTGTGTGGAAACCAACAGATTGTACAGGAAACAGTACAGGAATCAACAACTACTGAAACAGTACAGGAATCCACAGTACAGGAATCCATTACTACTGAAACAGTGACAGAAACATCACAAATCACAACACACACAGAGAGTGTCATAATAGTCGAGGGCGTCACCTTCATGGAAGTACAGGACCAGGAGTCATCGATACATAGACTCGAGAGCAGAGAAGATGGACCAATCGTCACTGAGGCAATATCTACCGAGAATGTGTCTGAAGAGGTGACTTAAAAGTTTCTGTTTTACAATCCTCTACAGGTTAAATAGGATTAGGTATTAGTTTTCAAGGCTCCATCACAGAGTCAGTTTAAGCTACTGGCCAGCAATTTAAAAAAACAGGCATTTTGGCGAGTACCATAAATAACTCTCACTATTATCCAATTCTGACGTCATTAAGACTAATTCCACAGAAGAACTGTGAGTTCAACAGTATGATGAAAATAGTTGTTCATCACACGGTGCAGTGCGAAAGTGTCTTTTTGGTACTTAATCGTATTTCCATTCTTGGCTGCGCCTCGCTTGTAAAACACGATTGCGTACCATAAAGAGCTACTTTCGCTCCTAGTGATATAAACTACTGTTTTGCCAACCAATAAACACTTGACAACCTGTTGAGCAAATAAATTTGAACAATTTTTCATAAAATGTCTGTAAATACAAAACAATACCAGACTAAATACAACTTGTATGACTCTAATGTGCCCAGCTGGTGTAGTGGTAAGAGCACGAGACTTCAGTCCCAGAGGTCCGAGATCGATCCCTGCCAAGTCACCAATGGATTTTATCTAAGTGATAATGCCGCAACCCCTAGATCTAGCCTGAAGTAATGTGAAAAACCAGGCTCGTGCCTAGCGTCCTGGGACAAAAAAAAAATGTGCCCTATTATTTTACTAACATAAAATGTAGATTTTTGATTTGGGTTGTTTTAACAGAAATATTACCTATGTTTTCCAAGTATCTATATAGGCAAGCATGTTTCTTTAAAACCTTTTTTCTCAGCTCGTGTACATCGAAGGGAAAATCTACGCATACTGTTGCAAAGATATTTTCCTGTAGATGTGCAGAATCCCCTTATACATTCAAACAGGCTAAAATTAAGCATACAAAATTAATTTGAAATTAAACAAAAAATAACATGAGCCTTATGGGTTGCCATGCTGGTGACGAAATAACAACCAAATATAAACAGAAAATCAAAACAAATGGAAGAAATTACAATCACATATGTTTTATTTACAGTGTGGGGTGAAAATTGAGAAGCCTGTACATTACATAGTTTTGGTCAAGTTTTCGACCACTAGTTCTGGCTATTGTTCAACATGTGTTGAATGTTGAATGTGATGATTTTTCAAAAGTTTCTTATTGTCTTAACTTAACTTAAGCACGTAAATATTTTGTAATTTCGACACAACACATTTTTTAACTAGGACAACTAACAGGATAAAGGTAAAATATCATGGATGAAACATAATTTTATCTTGCGTTTAGAAAAACTCATATATTGTAGAAAACTATGGTTTTGATTTTGTTTTTCACAACTGAAAATTTAATTTAGTTATTCTTCAGGCAGCTAAAACATCAAGTTAGACTTATCCATTATTTTACGTTTTTGCTCAAAGATTTTTAAATCATTCAAACAGATTGTGACAGTATTTTTAATCAATCTGACACTGTTTAACCAACATATTGCAAATTTACCACTCAGTTCTATGTGTATTTTAGAAGGTACACTTCAAAGATGAAGATGAAGAAGGGGGATGCTCCATAGAAGAACTGAGGGATAAAACTCCAGAACAGCAACGGAGCGAAACACATTCACTTCACAGTGAGAAGCAAGAGGCTCCAGTGGAGTATAAAAGTGAGTTTGAGAGGCAACTAGCCGAGATTCAGAAGCAGATAGAGGCAATTCAACAGCTTCCGAGCGTCCTGCAGGCAAACTTAGCGGCTGTCAGGGAACAACTAGCCAAGATTGTGGAGGCCAAAATAGCTGCAGATGAGAAAGAGGTTTGTAGCTTTGATTTATTGGTTATCTTGACTTTTTCGAATAGGTCAATATTTTTGACCCTGCATGCCCACATCGTCTTTGTGCCTCTATGTTAATTGTCAATAGACAGTGGTCAATAGACTCTATGTTAATAGACAGTGGCACAGTTTGAACACACCAAAACACCACATGTTTTTTTTGTTAGCTAAATAAAAATGTAGGGTGTGCTGCTTCTGTAGCTTTAGACTCTTTAATGACATTGTCCGCATAGTTTTCAAGTGTCTGTGAACTGTATCAATCCAAGAAAGAGTTGGAATCATCCCTTTTCTTGTAAACTCGTTTGATAGAGAAGGTTACTGAAAGTCCATTCATGGTGATCAGTAAACACACTGCTGGAGCAATATTTGCCTTCTTAAACTATGCACTTTTGTTACGCTAAGTGTTTTGACTACATTTCAGAAGTTACGGGAGGAGTTTTCTTACCTCTCAAAGCATAGCGTAGTCAAAACACTTTTGTGGGAAAAGTCCTTAAATAAATAAATAAAAAGGCCTTTATTTAAATTTAAATAGTTATCCTTCACAATTATGAACTTAAAAAAACATGTTTCTCAGCAACCTCTTTACCTTCTAAATCAGAGAAGGTGTTTCAACAAAATGTCAATTCTGTTCTCCTTGCCCATTTTGAAATGAAAGTAATATGACTATAGAAGCTTTGAGTTTGACTTATTTTATTTCAAAGCTTTTAGAGTTGCCTGGCTGTAAGTGTAATTTAAATTACACTTACAGATTATGTTGTCTCTAATCTCTTTTCTGAGATTTTGTTTAAAAGGTACAAATCTAATGGCAGTGGCTATCACTTGGAAAACCGTTAGGTCCTCATAGGCTGGTTGGTTCCATCCTGTTCCTAGAGCACACTAGCACCGGTACCCCCTAGTTTCCCATAGACCTATCAGTGTAGCAATTCACATAATGGGACGGGCCTCTTTCCAACAAGCCATTCTTCCCTTATTGGTATACACTATACATACCTTGAAAGGCATTCCAAAGATATATTTTTTGGACGTGTGATCCAATTGAGTACTTTGTTATATTCTTGTTGTTTTTGCCTCCTGATCACAATTTAAATTATAACTAGAGGTTGAGCTGCTCATCCGTGACTTGATCACATTGAGGGATTAAGGCATTTTAACCTCCCCTAGTTATACTTTGTTATGTACCACATAACATTTTGGATGGAATGGAACCCCTGATCATACTTGTTAATCATAAGTTTCCCGCTCTGCAACAAAGGGTTGTCTTCCTTGCTACCATCTTAAATGAATGGGTAGCATCTGAAGGCTTAGCAGACAGTGAGGGCTTCTCTAATACAGGTTCTTATTGCTCGGAGATACCGTTGCAGAAGTAAAAACACAGGTACTTTGATAATTTTCCCCTTTCTCACTGATTTTTTATTTTTTCAAATCATCACTTTTGTATTTTATTTTTAGAAAGTTGCTGATATGAGTTCTTCAAAACGAGACAGTATTCGCTCAAATCTTAGCTGGAAGGTAAGATTTTTCACAATCCTCATTATGATATCTATTTAGACCTGTGGATCTAAAAAAACGTATTGAATAAAAATGATCATTTTACATTTGTTCATGAAATATTGCAAGTAATACTTTTAATGCTTTAATACTTTTCAATAACGACCATACAAAGAAGGTATTTTTTTAAGCCAAGTATGTATGGAGATGAATGTAGGATGAGTGGCACAATCTTGTAGTCTTGTTAGTGACTAAGGCCGATTTATTCCTTAGACACAGCTGTTAATTAATAGCACATACAGCTAATGGCAACTAAGGGACCTACAGTTTATAGTGGAATCCGAATTGGTCTAATTTTCTTTCAGGATAGTACTGTGGATAGTCGTAGTACTCACTAGTGCGGACGTTAATCCACACCAGGGAGTATCGCATCCACAGTGCATGCCGTGATGGAAACAAAGTTATTCATTTTGATCTTAATTAGTTTTCTGTCACAAAACACTACCAGATGGGCATCCAAGCAACAATGGTTCATCACTTATTTGTTTTGTAAATATACTCACATAAAACTTTGTTGTTCAAGGGACACAAAAATATGTTTTCACCACACTATGATGTTTTTGGCTGTATTACATACGTTAATTGGTGGCTGAAAGGAGACGTAGGAATTGGCTAACTCAGGAGCTCGCTAACTCGGTCGTGTGTCGGAACTGGCTAACTCTGGAACTGGCTAACCGTCTCAGTCAGGAATTGGCTAACTCCGGAACCCGCTAACTCGATTTTGTCTCGTGGCGGAATTCGCTAACTCTGGAAGTCGCTAACCCGGCCGCGCCCACTGCACGGAGCGTTGGCAACCTTGTACGACAAAATAATCGTACATAACCGTATTTCAAAATATCAGTGTCAATGAAGATACAGTAAATGTAATTGTTTTTGTTATCAATTTCACTTTTAACAGATAACTAGCCCAAAGTAATTCAAAGACAATTATTAAAAAATCGTGAAAAGTGTTTTTTTATTTAACTCTACAATGGCCAGTTAAATGTTTATGATTTCGATCTTAAATATAAATGCCATAAGTATAAAAGAAAATAATAGAGTTGAAAAATATTGAAAAGGTACTAAATAAAACTAAACCTCTACGAAATTAAGCTAAAATACAAGCTAGTTCTCAAACACGGAAAACAAATTTAATCGTAATGTCATCAAACATCAACCATCAGTCATCAACCATCGTAACTTTCATAACTAATTCATAGATTTAAAATTAAATGTTCGTCGTTGAATCGTCCAACTTACGTGTAAAAATATGACATTAGACTAAGCTTTTATCTAGGCCTAATAGTTTAAGCCAAAGCATTGTAGGCCTACTAGTAAATAGTTGCCTAATTCTAAAATGTGTTGAATTTTTTAGTAATAATGTTACATGTTTTAAAACAGTTTTTAGATTGTACACCTAAGCACCACTAGTAAATAATAGGAGAAGATATAATACTCATATAATAAAACGTGACAGGGTAATTTTAATTCACGATTCTTAATCAACGAATTGACGGATTTTCTTAGTTGGGTTTCCTTTACATTGGTTTCACAATCGAAATAAACTATACCAAGCCATTGCTCGGTTCACCGTTCCCCGGTACTGAGCTACTCAATAGACAATAGCTTTGTTTTTGGATAAGATCAAGTAATTTTAGGTATGGCCACGGCCACCATTCATAAGAATTGTAACAAACAAGAACGCCTGGGTCGATTTAGAACCAGCCTGGAGAAAAACTCCAGACTTTTAAAAAGTAGGCCTACTGAAAGACGTGAAATTAATATTAATTAAACAAAATTAAGAGGATGACCCGGGTTCTACACTAATAGCCTACGATAAAAGAAATTTACAAGTTGTATTTATGCATAGACTAATTTTTAATGCAATCTATGAATAAATTAGGCCTACAACTTTATAATATTGTATTGATAAATATAAATTTAAATTCAATAGCTCTATTTAAAAATACATTACCACTACAATGCATTTCTGGACTGACGTTTAACGTGTAAATTTTATCATGATTTATGATTCAAGGTTACAAGCCCAGTATATAAAATACGAACTCAATAATTTATTTGCAGAAGTTTAAAAAATGGTATTTATTCGAATAAAAGAAACAAATGGTTAACTACGAAAATAGATATTTCATAACATGTAAAAGATCCAAATTAAATGCACATTTTTATCTTTTTGCATGCCATTAAGCTACTATTTAAGTAAGAAGCCCAAATATAAAACATACTCCCTTATTATTAGTATATTTCTAATCCTTATGGATCAGCTGAAAACAGCTTTATTGTTAGTTCTGTCCGGTGCACTGTCTTTAGAGGTCGTGTTTTGTTTACAATTGTTTCTTGTTTCCAGTCATTTAAAACCTCGTTTAACCAAATAAAACGTTCTAATCACAACTAATAACACGTCCCCTAGTTATATAAACAAACAGTAAAGAGAAAATTATGAAGTTAACTATAGAAATAATAGAAACACAATTTTGTCGACACTAGCGATCAGTGTCACCGGACATGAACTAGACGCGAAAAACGAGCTTCAAAGTTTACAATGGGATATAAAGTTTACTTGTGTTGGTTAGTCTATGGTAAGACTATAATGCATTTTCCACCCTAATAATCATGAGAATAATGTTAAACATACTTCTCAATATATTTATTTGATCAACTACGTTGCTTTTACTCCTAATTAATCGTAGGATACGACATTATGGTACCGATACTATATAGGTACTACACTTTCGGTAACCCTGGCCAAAAATATTCGTGCTTGGCTCCCATTGGACGGCCCGCGAGGCTTCTGATTGGGAGTTAGCGAGTTCCGCCGAGGGACCGAGTTAGCGACTTCCGTACGAGGACGGAATTCGCTAACCCGGCTCTAGAGCGGGTTAGCGGGTTCCGGAGTTAGCCAATTCCGAAACCGAACAAGTTAGCGAGTTCCTCTCGTCGACCAAATTTGAACATAGGGCTTTTAACATGGGGTTAGCGAGTTCCAGAGTTAGCCAATTCCGCGGACCCGCTGAAAGTTACGTTTTGCTGGCCATGCCAGCTGTCATCGTAATTTGGGGACCGAGCAGGTTTTTACAGGCCGGGGCCGCAAAATCAGCTGTCCGCTTACTTACTTAAAACATGAATGCATTTTAAATACACAATCAAAATCCATAGCATTGCAATAGAAATGTGTTATTGTCACCGTTGCCTAGCAACTATTTATTTTTACTTTTGCTGATTCCTCAAATTATTTCTTTACATAACCTTAAAGTTGTAGTTGTGTTGACTATCAGTGTGCATTATTATAGTGGTGAATAGTGGTAATAGAGGATAGTGTGGTGAAAAATAGCGTTCGTACCACGGACCGAAATGGTTTTGCAGCTCACGATCGATTTAAGTTCTCGACTTCGTCTCGAACTTAAAAACTACCTATCTCGAGCCAGCAAAACCTCATTTTTGGCCCTAGGTACGAAATATACTATTTTAATACAATGTGTGTTTACTTGTTCTTTGAGTTACAATGAATTATTGATTGAAAAGATCAAAATTCTGAACAACAAAAAATCCTGACTACAGTGACAGACAGTATATCCTAATAATCTCTATTTCCTAAAGTCACTCATGACTTGGTCTTATGACCATGAAGAGTGTGCGGAACATAGCAAGCTGCTGAATAAAATTGATACAATACAACAATTTAACTTTTAAAATTTTCTTTAACCCTCCAAGTGTCCATAGTTTAGGCCTTAATGTCCACCTATTTTTGGCGCATTTGCAAGGTTTCATTAAAACGGATCTGAGAAGCTTAAAACAATGTTAATTCTAATTTTCTATATACCATTTTGTTTGGAAAATCATGGGCTTCAATATCATACATAAAACATAAGGAATATTTGTTTCAAAAAATTTATTTAGGTAAAAAAAAAAAATTATTTTGGAAAAATTGAAAAAAGAAATAAGTTTGCGCTCAATGAAATTGTTTAAATTATAGGCCTATGAATATTTGAAAATAGCCACTTTGTTCTAAATTTTATGAGGATTACAAATATATAATAATATAAGGAAGTAGATTTGCAAATAAATAAGTTATGGGCAAAAAACAGATTTCAGTACATAGCGTTTAGCTAAGAATGCATAGCCTAACCATAGCTAGGAATCTGGCTGATAATTTACATCAATATCACTACCTACTTCTTCAGGATCATCAACCAGCACTTCAAAACCACTTAAATCTTCTTATAATGCACCACGTATATCACTACTTTTGATTTTTAACACTAAAACAATGATAAACGTAATAAAACACATCAGTCATCGGTCGGAGGGTAACCTAGCTGTTTACAAATACACGCACGTCAGCTGTCTGCTACAATTATGATCGGCTCAGAGATCATACAGCGCTGAGACAGACCTCTGGAGAAAGCTTAGAATATTACGGAAAGAACGATACCTAACTCGATCCAGTTCAATCCGATTCAGTCAGTCATAGAGCCTTCGCCGTAAACGATGTCTGCGTGTCGAAAAATCGACAAGTAACACTACACAAGGTGTGCTGCTTGTCGAATTTTCGTCAAGTAACACTGGGAGGGTTAATCTTTAAATTTTGTATACATTCATAATATTTCTCTTAATAATTTTTCAGGATACTAGGTACTAGTTAAATTCTCACTATCCAGTGCCGAAGCCCCGCGATATCCATCCAGGAATACATTTTCTCTTCCTTAAAATTCATATAAATTTTAGTGCAAATAGATTTCCTTAAAATTCAAGGTACGATGAGCATGATTTTATTATTCTCACTATCAGTCAGGAGTTATGAGACCCTTGACTATAAAATTCTATTTGAGTTAAGAATTTTTTCTGTATTTTGTTAAGTTTAAAAAAAAAAATTACAGATTGATGTGACAGTTGAAGAAAGTAAATGTGAAGAGGAAAATCTTGAGGAAAACTTAACAAACCCTGAAGAGCAGCTTACGGATAAACTACCAGACGACCAACAGGATCAAGTGAATGAACAGGATAAGTTTGATGAAGAGTTTGAGAAGGAGTTTGGGGAAATGGTAGAACACACAGAAATTGAACAGTTTAAGAACATGAAGAACAAACAATATCAGCAGGAAGAGGAGGTAAGTTTTTCCTAAATATCTATTTGGTATTAATTTACTCTATGTATCCTTATAATTTGTATTAATATTTTGTAGACAAATTTTGTAATTTTTATCCCAACTTTGTGAAAGAATATGCCAAATTTTCATTACAGTTAAATTTAATACGAGCCCTATAAGATACTTTAAAAAATTGACCTTACAGTTGCAATGGTACACATTTTAAAACAAATCACACAAATTGGAGGTAATTGATATTTTTAGAACAAGATCCCAAAGTGGAAGACGCTAAGTTTTTAAAAATGTTTAAACCATTTAGACTGCCTCTTTGAAAGGAAAATTAACATTACTAGTATTTAATTAAACCTTTTATTTTGATACATAAATATTTTTGTATGAAATTATGACATTTTGGTATGTAGGTGAGTCAGTGGCACTACGGACTTGGGCCTATGGCAGCGATGTGATTGGTTCGGATACTGCCGATACTGGTACCTTTTCCTACCTTTTGTCAGTAAATTTCACCCTTGTACCGTACCGACTCATCCCTTTCCACTTTCACTTTCCAGCAATCATGCACAGATCCTATGTGGAAGGGAAAATTCAAGGTTGAAAGTGGCCGCCAACCCTTAATTGAAATGAAATTGGTTCCAGGACCCGTCTGTACGTAAGCCCCCAATGATCCGGAATTTCCCCAAGAGTGCCGAAAGACCAATTGTACTTCCAGGAGGAAGGAAGTGGTACAAACCACAAGACGCTTACAACGAGGACTTTATCGCAGAAACGATAATACATCAGTCTGAAGTACTGGTTGGAACAACTGTCGGGTAAGGAAGACCTATAATCACACTCATTAGTTAATTGTAAGATAACCAAAGAAACTGTTTGAAATATTCTGCAAATATGGATTGATCGATTGTGCAGGGGCGGACTGAATAGTAAGTCTCTCAGTAAGTCAGCCTCATGGAGGGCGTTTCGCACTTATTGTTGCAAGGTAAAAAGTCTAGCTCTGCTAGAGGTTGGTATCTTCCTCTCAATATAGCTCCAAAGGTATTTTCTTTGACCTCAGTAAGATCTGAACAGTCAAACAAATGGTCTGCACAGCAGTCTACACAAATTGCCTGCACTTCCTACATGCTATGTACCTGTTAAAAATCCACAAACAAAATTAGGTGCTTCTTCCTGTAATCCTGTAACCATGACTTTTGATCTCTTATAATTGGTTGAAGTCTCCAACTTAAATTAGGTATGAAGGAACCACGGGATCTTTTATAAATGTGTAGTAAATTTAGTCGTCTTCCCCCAGACTCAACTTCCTGAAGTACGAGCCACCAAAGTTTGATTCGGCCAACTCTGCCGTATTCCGGATGATTCAGGAGATCGAAGGGAAAGCTAACGGAGGCGACTGTCTTCCCATCGAGGCGCGACCTGAGAAAGTCATGGCCAAGGATGATTACTTCCCACCTGTAAGTTACTTGGAAAATGGATTTTGAAGGATTGGTGAAGTTGTGATTGGATTCTGGATTAAAATGAATAATCCATTGATTGAGCGGAGCGAAACAAAGCTCTTTGGGATCACTTAATATTTTGATTAAGATTTTCACTTAATACACTGTACAGTTGTCACTCAGTGTTTTTTGTAAATTAATTTGCCAGCTTACTCTGAAAGCCGTACGGTTAATATTAATTCTCCAAGATTCTTACAACCAAATGTTGTCACCTTAAGTTTTAAAACACATTTAATCTAACTTGGTAAGTGGCATTATACTTTGAAATTGTGTTGGTTTGGTGGAGTTATAAAAACTGTGTTTCTTACTAAATGCTCTGTAATCCTAAAAACAATTAATTTGTTCATTTCTGTTACAGATCAGTAAGAGGCATTTTTTTGCTGCTAGACTCACTGAACAAGGAAATGTAAGCATTTGATTAAACGTTGGTTGTTTTAATCAATGTACTCTATCTCCTATGAGTTTTGGTCTTTAAAAATAAGTTGTACAGTATACAATAAGTTGGCTATTAGATTCAGTTTACAAAAAGTCAAATGTAAATATGTTTAAATAACATTTTACCGTTAAACAGTACGCTATTTGAATTGAATTTAAATATATTATTAATTTTCAAATGAAGAAAAAGGTTGGCAAAAAATTTAATAATTAGAGAACAATAATAATAATAAGTACCTTAAGTAAGTAGCATAATAATAATTAGTTAAATTGATTGATTGAATCGGGGCGGACCTTGTCTCAGTGCACGTCACGCACAAATAGGCTTTTTGTGCTCCCTGCTTGGCCACTTGGTGCATACGAGCCTGTCAAAGTTGAGTTTCTTGATGAACTGCAGGACCCTATGTACAAGCTACCTGAGGAAGGTGTCCCCCCCTCATTGTTCCAAGAGTGCTTTCTTTTACCTCATTCGGAGCTGTGCAGTCATAGAGTAGATGCTCTACTCGGACTGCCGACATTTCCTATATGACATGCAGTGTCTCCAGTCTCCATTGTACATCCTCAAGAGATGGAGGTGCAATAATAGAAAGCCATGATCCGTGACCATTCCTGTGATCTGTCTTAGTTGCCTCCTGTCTAATCACAGAGCATTGGAGGTGACCGTATAAGGAGAGAAGAGAGTGAGCTTGCTTACCCTATGGTGCTGACTTAACCTATCTTCTTATGTGCTCCTCCTGGGCTCATGCCATGACTGACTGACCTGCATACCCACGAAAGATTTCACAGAAAGGCTGTGGTCCCACAGACTTGTCGGCCACCTGGTTTCCCTCTATCCTTGAGTGTCCAGGAACCCAACAGAACGTTACCGTGTTGCACCTGCCCAAGGCACGTACTGCAGTGAGGCAGTCCCAGACCACCTTAGACTTGGAGAACACCTTGAGAGCAGCTTGGCTGGCTGTGAAAATGGAAATGTTCATGTCCCTAAAGCCCTACCTCAGATTTTCCTTGGTACACTCCATGATTGCAGTTATCTCAGCCTGGAGCAGTTGGATGCATTCCCACGGGAAGATATAAATTCCACCCCATTCTGCACTGTGTAAATTCTGTTTTGCCCCTGTCCCACTTCTGACTTTTGAACCATCGGCACCATTCAATATCGCCTGGTGGAACAGGATTCCATTCCAACTTACACTCATCTCTGGAAGCAAGATGGTGAATGGCTTGGCGAAGAAGAATTGAATCGTCATGTGGTCTGATGGCATGTCCAGTACCTCCCCTCTTACATTCTGAGTGATCCGAGAGTGGTCTCGATATCCTTCTATATGCAGCCAAAGATTTTCACACTAGAGTCTGTAAGCAGTCTTCCTCACAGTGACCTTGACATGCAGGCCAATTGGATTTAGGTTGAAAAGGCAGCCTATGAAGTGATGCTCCCGAACATCAGCTCATCAATAATGATGAGACAGGTAGTCTTTGGATGGCAGCCACATCGCTCACCATCAGCACCAAGTCAATCTTGGGCCACCACACAAGTGATTCGTGTGTCATGGCAGGCCTTACCACAGAGATGAACGGCCAGTACATGAGCCCCGACTTGAGCCTCCAGGTTCCTCCCACCTGCTTCTATCAGTGACCACACTTACCTTAATACAATGACAAATTTTATAATAATTGTCATATGTTCTTTTGTTGCAGGAAAATGTGGAGAAGATTTTACAAGACACCAATGAACAACCTATAATATCAGTATAATTCTTAAAGAATGCATTTTCTGTTGCGTCTGCTATCATGCTACTGAAATAAACTGTCAATAATGTTTATTTGTTGTGTATTTTATTATTGTGTATACAAATATGTTGTCAATAAATAAAACTTGAGTTCATTTGTTTTTTGTCCAAATCAATAATAAAACACTTTTTAGCTCAACATGTAAGTAATCTTTATTTTGATATACAATAAAAGCTGTAAAGAAATACTTAAAATCTAACAAATAAAAAAATGTCTTTTTATGAATTATTTACTAATATCGAACTTTGGTCTGTTATTATGATAAGCATTACAAATAGGCCATTGGGTTTCCAAGTTTGTGTGTTCGATAAGTAATTCTTTTTGGGGATTTTTACCAATTGTTTATAGACAATTTAATTTGTACGATTGTGTATAGAAGATTAAACAAGAATATTTACCATGAGTGTACGAGGTAAAGCACATTGATGCACATTGCATGCTACCGTATCACTTTGAAAAGAGTTCTGCATTGATTAGTGCACTTTTATAAACAATACGATTGCACCAAAACCCTTAGAAAAAATGTCTGTCAGTCGAGTTAGGGTTATCTCTTCTCCAAACTTTTAAACTTTGCCTCCAGTCTCTTAGAGTAAGCGTCTAGCTTGAAGGCAGCTTGCTCCAGCTTCGTCACACTGTCTTCTATTTGATCAATCTGATCAAGATATGGCTGTAGTGATTTGTCTGTTCAAACAAAGGAAATTGTTAGTGAGATGAATAAGATTTACTAAGTTAAATATTGCTAAGTAGATGGTTATTAGTACTACATAAAATTATAACAATCACTTCACCAACTTGAATAACTAAATAAATTGACCTTCACCATATGCATTATGGTCAATAAGGATATGCTAATTTTGAAATATGACCACAATACAAGAAAAGGTTTTGAATCTCGATCCTTTTTTCATGTAAAACCAGATAAAACATTTAGTAACATTCACAATTTTGTGAATGGAAGGTTTTAAGTAGAGGCCACAATTTGTTTAATACAAACTTTGAAAGTCCATCTAAAAAATAGCCAATTTATTTTCAACAAATACAACCATCTAGTAATCTAAAAGTAATTTTTCCTACAGTTACCTAACAATGTACATGTTCTCTCACTGATTTGAGAAAGCAAAGTGGCCAATTCGCTTATCAGTGAGACAATGTTAACATTGTCTCACTCTAATTACTTTGTCTCACTCCAGATTTGCAACGTGAAGGCACGAAATAGTGAGCGCGTAACACGCAGGCAACGTCATATGCACGCTAAATGCGTTGGCAGCACTGGCTGTAAATCAGCTGGTCAGCTGTTGTACTGTTGTATTTGTCTCTTCACATTAAATGTTTTATTAAAAGTTCACTTCTGTGTAAAAATAGGTTATGTTTCTTCACAAATTTATTTGTTTTATGGTAACTGTAGGAAAAGTATAATGTGCAACTCGAGTTCAAAGTACAATTGCCTCACTCGAGAAACCATTCCTCACTCGCCTACGGCTTGTGAGTAAGGATTTCTCTCGAGTGAGTCAATTGCTCACTTTTCTCACTAGTTGCACAAATAACTATTTTTCATGATTCCTAAAAAAAAATATTTTTTTATTATTATCACTAGAATTAGTTCATTCATTTAGATAAAAAAAAAATCATTGTTATGCCTGAGTATCAAGGTATTACTAAAAAACAACAGCCTAATACATTCCTTAACATTCATGTACATTGTTAAACAATTAAGGCCCGATTTCACCAAACTTTTAAACCGCCGTTAAGCGTTGCTCTAACTGCAGTTAGCTCTTAACTGACGAAATCGGATTTCACCTCTCGCCGTTAGCGCTAGTTTAGACTAAACCGTCGTTAGATAATTAACTGCCCAATTTTGACCAGTTAGCTTCTTTAATCTTTCGTTAAGTAAATATCAGCTGGCTTTAAGTTTAAAATTTATATGGAAAGGCGAAATGGTAGAAGAGAATACGGTACGAATTAGCTTTTGAAAGTAAGTGATGGCAATGAAGAGTAGCCTATGTTGTTCTACCAACTAGGTGGATAAGAGAAAGGGTTAATGATTTAAATAACAAAGATGAAATTGATTTTATTATTAGATATGAGCTATCAAAACGTTTAGCCTTTTTTTAGGGAATGAATACAAACCACTGTAGTTTGTGTTTAGGCGATCCCACATAGTGCATTGCTTTAGGTTATCCCACAAGGTTTTTAGTTAAGGCGTATATCTGTGATCAGCGACCGCATTGAACCACAGTCTAACAATAAATAATTTATACAGACTTTATTTATATTAGACTGTGATTGAACTGATTGGCGATCAAGAGCCGCACTCTTTTATCCCGGCTCTTCTACCAACATTATGAAATTTATTATTTCATTGTTCGAAAAAATAGGCTCCCTTTTCCTTCTCCCGGCTTTGGGTAACCCTAACCCAACGTTCAAACAATTGTTTTGCGTTCGGTCAGATGTAAGTAAACCAAAATCTAAACCTAAATTGTCATTATTCTGCTAGTATTTTATAGAAAATAATTATTTTGGTGTTATCTACATTGTGTCTCGTTCTTGTAATTCTTTTGACTCCAGTTTTTTCACTACTTCAAATGTACCAAACTGGTTAGTGAACAAACAGAATATTGAACATCCCTGTAAAAAGTTTGATTTTGAGTCTTGACTCGACCGCAAAACTCAACCAATTAGTTCCTCGAATATGTTTGATCAACATTGCTTTGCCTTTATTTACTTATGTTAATTGTTTTGGTATTTATTCTTGCTTTCTGTTGTTATTTTGCTCAGAATCTTTTGTATTCCTGTAAGCTTGCTGTCTCCAGTTTTGTTTTCACTACCTCATAAAACTGATTTATTTTCTAGGTTATGTTTACTTGCTCCCGTAACAGCCCGGTATTATGACAGTTCACTGCCACTGCCACCTGGATTTTACTCTAAACTCTCGTTTATAAAACCAGCGTTAGTTTTGACGCGTTTTTGTTGGTGAAACCAGATTTCCTTAACTGTGGTTTAAATCATCGGTTAGTTTTAACCGAAGTTTAACTAAACCATCGTTAGCGAGAATTTGGTGAAATCGGGCCTAAATCATTTGGCATGACATTAATCTTGATTATAATTCCCGTTCATTAAAAATATCTCAAAAATAGCCAAAAATCCCTGCACATAATGATGCTAATTTTGTACATGATGCTAAACCCATTGAGATCACCAATCTCTAAACAATAGGTTTTTTAGCACAAAAGCTAAACAATATGCCTTTGTTGTCTGCTATTATTCTGTTGAATTTACAGAGACTGACGACTTAGCTTCAAAGTGTTTAAGTATTAATAGGTCTTGTACTGTCATATAAATTGTTATACATTCCCTATGTATTACAATCCTACATAGGTAATTACTCCGAAATACTAATATCTTAGTAAATAGATTTTACTATTGAGCTTCCCATTCTCAGACACTTTTCATTCTAGATGAATGCTTTATTTATTGTCTGACAACGTAGCACTACAGAATTAGCTTGGCTTAGAGCAAGGCCCACTAAAAAGAAACAGGCCATGCTGCAGGATCCATGACGTCACACTAAATGTGATTTCATTGATAAATTCATTGCCAACGCCATTCCCATGTTTTAGGTAAATAAATAAGCTGGCTGTTTGTAAGATTTTAATGGTAAGAGGTTAGTACAACTATCCACCACTGTGACGTAGTGTTGCGCTGCCCGTGCTGCAGCATGCCCTGTTTTTCTAGGGGCCTTGCTTAGAGGGTCAATCAACAGTTTCTACCTTACATATGTTGTAAGATGAGTCCAAGGATTATATTGTTACATCAGCAGTAAAGACTCTTATTACTAAATTGCATTGTGCTATCATCTGGTAAAGGTTTGAAAGTGGGACCTTTATCAATCTCGTTCTTTCCTTTACATTTTCATAAAAACACTTCAGGAGTGGTCAAGCCAGGACGAGTAGCCTAATTTAAACCCAAACCCTTTAAATGCTAGTTTCCATACTTGCTATTTTGTGTGTGTGTGTTTTTTTTTTTTTTTTGTGAAATCATCAAACCCCAAGTACAGATTGGCCAGAAATTCTGCACACTGACGGGTGCGCTAATAGCTAATCTAAAACATACGGGTTCCAGTTATTGGCAGAGCTGGGGGTGGTGGTGAGTGAGTCATGTTGTGTAGCAAGATACTAATGTTTCACTAAAGTATCCCCGCCAACCCCCTCACCTAGACCCAACCTGATTTATCTGTGCGCACAAAAACTTTGGTCAAACTGTACTCGATGGAAGATTTATTTGACAACCACCAACACATTTATCATATTGCATTTTTGTCAATACAATTAGTAGGCTAGTAAAATCATTGGCAGCAAATTTTTCTGAAATAATCCGAGGGAGAAAAATTCTGTGTGAAAAAAAAACTATGATGTGGGCCTACATAAAATATAATACAAATTAATATATCCACTCACATTTATCATTGAGTTCTGACATGGTTCTACCAACATTGCAAGCAATCTGTCTCATGTCCGAGTACTTGGTGACTGTCGCCTGGTTCATGGCTTCCAGCAGCTTGTAGTCCTCCTTAAAAATATCAATAACATTAGGCTTAAATCACACCTATACATGGCCACATAGGAGTCCCATAAGGGGCCATAACTTTAAGGAATTTCTATTAAAAATACAATATTTTAGCTTATTTTTAGACTTCATAGTGCTGATAAGTTGTGCCCTTTCCCCAAAAAATGTTGGTCACGGGATGCCTATGCACTGTCATACTTCAATGTGGAGATATCGAGTAGGCTAGAATTAGGTATTTTGTTTTAAGTAGTAAACATATTGAGGTGTTTTATGGAAAGTTCTCTGTGCTGGGTTTAATGAGATAAAGTTTTCTTTAAAATAATGAGGTTTATGACAACATTTATTTACAATGATGCTTTTAATATAAGTTTTACATTAGTGCCTAGTCAGCACTGTAAATAAGACACCACAGTTTGGGGCGTTCCCCAAAAAAAGTGTAAAAAATGCTTGGCAATTAAACAAGCACAAGCATTATTTAATTCTATGAAACCACGAAAAACATTCAGATTGATACTGTGGAAACCCAGCTAAATGCCCCGCAGATAACATTTTATTTGTTAAAATTAAAGAATTAAACTATATTACACTGTCTGATTCAGGGTTGCCACCCGTCCTGATTCTGCCGGGACAGTTCCTTATGCCCGTATTTAAGCCTATGTTGATCCGGGAGGGAGGGGGGCAATGTTCCGATTTTATCCTGACCGAAGGTGGCAACCCTGGTCTGATTTGAGAGGTAGGCCTATCTGAACGTGATTTTAATCTGTACCTGTGTAACAGTTAACTCCCCTAACAGGTAGTCGGCTGTTTTCTGAAACATTGTGGTGGCAAGACGGCTCAGGTTTGGATCATGAGGATCCAGCGCCTCAAAACTGCTTGTGCTGGTAGATAATGTTGGTCCTGCAAATCAAAAGAAATTTTAAAAACTAATAACTAGGCTATCATAGATTACTTTTACAATGGAGCTAAATTTCAATGACTGCGCTTTATAAAATAGCCAATGATGAATAAAATTCCCTATAACAATTATGGGTAAAGATAAGGGAAGATCGTGAAGGTGGTTTAATCAGACTGAACACAATTTCTACCGTACGATTTTTGTGCAATACTAACTACTACAATCCTACTACGTAGGATTCTCCAGTTTAATTCATAAGGCTGATGGGTATTTTAAAAACTTATCTATTAATATCAAAACTATTGGGATCATGATAAAATCATTGCATTGCTAGCCGAACAACTTTCTTACACAAAAAGTAAAGAGTCCTGAATTTCATTACAATGTACCAGGCCGTAAGTTATTTGAGCTAGCGATGTCACAAGTAGGCTAAGTAATAAACCTTAAATGTAAACAGAGCTTCTTTAATAGGTAATAAACATTTTCAGAAGCTCCACATAAAATATGATTAACTACACAATTAAGTGTTCTAAGTTTGAGGGTTGTGAATTAGGCCTAAAACCTCGGCTATGTGAGGTTTATCTTGGAAATGTAGGCTACACTTTTTTATTCATAAAAAAACTGTAGACCTATCTATCTGCCTCAGTGGCATTTACTAAGGTTTTTTTTAGTGAACGGTTCAAATCCTCTTCTTGTTACTAGGCTACCTAATGTAGACCTTTCGTTAGAAAGGATCATTAATATATAGCCCAATGACAAATGGCATCCGGTCTTGTAACGATTTCGCTTGGAATCGGACCAGCAACCAGCAGATTTGAAGGTGAGCACGATAAAATAACCACTCTGCTACCCAAACAATCCTTGCGGAAACCATGCCAATGTGTTGTTTAGTTAATAGACCCTTAGTTAAAAGGCAATAAAAAGCAACTGATATTGGCTAAAGTTGTAAGAAATTAGAAAGTCTTTTGGTTGGACAAGCAAGGTTATATTAATTCCCTGATGAATATGTCTTAAAACTAAGTCTTGAGATGACTGTAGGACACTGGCAGACATGTGCTATTTTAACCAAGTTGGAATAATTTGGCAACTGATTTTGTGACTCATGCCTGGTGGTGACATCATTGGTACGGTACTGAGTTTACCAGGCCTACTTGTGGTTACTTTTATAAACTAAGCTGATTGCCACCCAACAAACACATAATTCTTAATTTAGATTGGTAATTGCATAGGCCTAAATGTCTTGGATAAGTAAACAACTTTTTTCTTGCAACAATTATACCCTAAAATAACTGTCATGTCGAAATACTATTTGGGTTCGTGCACTATTTGAAACGTTGTTGACAGTTTATGAATAATAATGTGTAAATTATTTAATTTTACCATGAAGACATTCGTGAATTTTGCTGTTTATACCTCTTTTAGGCGAGTCTGTCAATCCATCTTCTGATACCTCTTCAGCCATATTTAAAACTTGATGGAATTAGTAAAGTATTAAAAAGCACGTTTACAATCTAATATTCTACTTAATAAAGATACTGAACAATAATAGTTTTCATTTGGCTGCACTTTAGTTTAATAATATGTTTACTGAAAGTACAAAAAGGTTATATCACATACACAAACAAACACAATTTATTTGACAAGACAATTATTTCTATTTCAGTTTCAGTTTGCTTCTGCTGTGTTGATTTTTATGTCAGCTGTTTGAGCAGTGTAGCCAACATCACTTTTATCGCTTCTTTTCTACAAACGAGTATCAATAATTGTAATCTAGTTGTATTTTTAGGATGAAAACTAAATTTTTCTCTGAAAAACCAACTATATTGTTTAGTTGTTTACTTAAACATGTAGGTATACAGTCCCAATTATCACCTTCTACGTTAATTAAGCGTCTTATGCGACTCTGTGAGTAATATCGAAATACGCCCTACCGAATAGACATATCGATGGGTCGTTTGTTTGGAATACCGTGACGTCATGGCTACATGGTAAAAGGATATGCGCAGAACAGATTCTTTTAGTCTGTGCGCAAGTAATCAAAACAGCAGTCTGGGTTCCAAATTCAAAAATAGCGGGCATTCAGGTTAAAGTGAGTTAAAATAAGACAACTTAGTCTTGCTACGACCTTCGACATTAACGCACCGAACGTTACTGTATCATATTCTTCTGTAACGAATTATAAAATAATTAGTTTAATTTTAATTTTAAAATCGAGTGATAGTGATCCTTATGGCAGGCCTCATAACTGTGCGCCTTCATCGAAATGATGCCCAACCGTGGGGTTTCCGGCTACAGGGTGGAAAGGATTTCGGAACTCCCTTACTTATTCAAAAGGTAATATTTCTTTCAGTAATATACTTATTATTAATTTATTCTATAAAATGTGTCTTTTAAAATTGCATGTGAGTATATAGCAACACCGTCAAATTCAACCCAAATTGTGTATTGGATGTAATGTACTATAATTTTTCTTACAAAAATTTAGTGTATTATTTTTGTTACATTTTGGTAGTTTTTTTATCGCTTGTAGTACTCTTTTCATGGATAACTAGTGTTTAGTTTACATCATACGTTTCTTTTTAATCAGCCTCTTTTTCAAATGTATATTTTTTATGAAGTTTCAATTAGTTTATTAAAATTGTTGTAACGACGATTACAGTTACTTTGTTAACACATAAATTATAGACGTATGAATTTGTAAATGCCTGATTATTATTAACACTGAAACCCTATATCAAGTTTAGAAAATCGGTGCATCATTATACAAGTTGTTAGTCTTGCATAAATCTTATCTAAATTAATATGCATTATTGCACTGTCTTATCATTTGTTTTTTAAATAAGCTACTATGCGGTTTTCGACATTGACGGATAAATGATTTTCTGTATCATTTTACAAAAAACTACACAACTAATGCGGAATTAACAACCACTATGGATCTTGAAAAAAGCTTTCGCTATGAAAATATGTTTCTAGATTTTGATTCTTAAATGTTGATGGTACTAAGATTGCACTTTTGGCTTGATTAAGTATTTTTTCCGTTGTTAGTAATCCCTCAAATAATATTAGTTTCCGTTTGTCAAATAAAAATTATTCTTAGGGATGTATATAGTTAGTTGATCTCATATATGATGAAAAACGTTATATATTATTGTCTAGAGGCTTTATCTGATTGCCTCTGCCCCTTAGGTATATTTTTTCACAGTGAACATTCAATGGTTATCTTAGATTAGTATATAACTAATGAAACAAAGTTGCAAAATACATTCAGAACGTTGTAAACAAAACGAACGCTTAAAGCATGTTTTAGTATATATAAAAAAAGAACTTAATTCTGTGGTTTTTTAACATAAAACCATTGACTTTATATCCACACAGATTGTAGTAGATATAAAGTCAACGATAAAACTCAGACCCTTTTTAGTTTTTTCACTGGAAATGTCATAACTTAAAAAAAATATCCTTCAATGAATTGGATATCTTTTAATGAATACACGATGACTAAACTACTGGGTACCTTGAAGTGGCTCTTTAAACGTGTGACTCATCGTTTAGGGTATTCTCAAGGACGTATGAGTGACGAAGGCAAATCCACTCGAATCAGTCGAATCAGCTGATTTCAGTTGCTGTCATCGACCGGATGAACTGGTTCTCGGTTTATGCCACAATGATAAGCTTATCCAAATAATCAATCAGTTTAAGTTATATTTGAATTGACACACTGGTATTTCAGGACAAGTTGAAATAGTTTTAATAATATTTTTTATAATGTAGGTATAACATTTTTTGAGTGTTCATTGATAGATCGGATCTATGAGGCGTACACAAACCTGGCTGCGTATTTTAGGGCAAATATGAGTGAGGGATTTTTGTACCAACACAACAAAGAACAATGGATAAGAAAAACGTTTAAAGAATATAAAAAAAAACATAAAAATTGCAAAAATCAACAATTAAATCAAATACAAAAAAAAAACTTGTTTATTCCCAACAGATTTTACTCAATACTTAACAATTCTGAATCTAAACTCGAGCTTAGACAACCTTTTAGAAAAATTCATTAAGTTAGCAATTGGTCTGTCATTCAACAAAAATGTCAAATAAACTACACGGTAAAGACGTATTTAGACATTGTTTTTTTAAGCTCAAAACTCGAGTAACATGTAGCAGAGTTCGAGGACAATTTCCTTCAGTAAAACCACAACACACAAACTGGAAAAATAAATCTGGAAAACACGGCATCGTCAACATTTGTTCGCTGCACATACCAATGGCAACAAGCGAATCGCGAATCTTGACAAAAACCATAAACTCATAACACCAGTTGCAAAATCCAACCCATGCAAAGTGCCAAGAAAATTTGGCTAGCTCTGCACTTTATTGTTTGCAAATGTGAAATGTTTTGGTAAGATATGCCTTGCGGGACTCCTATAACTACCAAGTGTTTAGACGAGTGTCTAGTGTCTAGACAGCTGTAGACAATCAAGAGGTTGAAGATTGTCTACGGGATTGTCTACATTAAGAGACAGACTCGTAGTTTTATTACACCAAATTACACTGCTGGTTTTGTCAACCGAGCCACTTTGGGGATTGTGAAAGTGAAAATTACGACGAATAGCCTGGAGGTTTGATAGTGACGCATGTCAGAATAATAAACAGCTGATCGTAGACAGTAACAAAGCAATGGTTCAATGTTTAATTTTGTGAACTGGACAGCTGAGTGAGCAGGTATATTTCTTGAAAGAAGGTTGCTTGTTCGATTCCGGGGAAAAGCAAAATAATTTAATGAAACTGGACCAGCTGCCCTTGGTCATAGGGCTTTTAATAAATTATCCTGGCTAAGAAGCCAGCTGATCTAGTCATGAACAACCTGTCATCGTATTCATTCAGTTCCCTGATCTTCGTCATCACAATCAAAAACTAATAAACTTGATGTAACTGTGCCTCAATACAAAATTCTGATTAATTCTCTTGCTTATTAATTAAAAGAAAATACACTAGAAAAATAACATTTTTAAATACAGTGTTAGCAAAACGGGAGTGCCGATGAAGACCAGGTCAAGTCCCTTCAAACGCACGCACCCCCACAGGTCTCCATCGGCACTCCCGGTTTGCTAGAGGTATACTGTAGTACGGTACCTACCTAAAATTTTTTTACTGTCCATACAAATATTTTCACTCGATGAATCACGCCAATTAATCCACCAATTAATACATTCATGCAAAGTTGTATACATTAGCACTTATGTAGTACTAGCTGTACCCGCGGGCTTTGCCCCGTTTAACTTCATATGGCTCAATCCCGTCCTTGTTGAAGTTCGTTCGCTACGCTCACTCACCTTTAAGTTAGAGCTCGTTCGCTGCGCTCACTTGCCTTCAGGTTAGCTCGTTCGCTACGCTAACTCGCATCCAGGTTGAAGTTCGTTCACTACGCTCACTCACCTTTTGGTTGCAAATTAGCTGTTGTCATAAATTTAAAAAAATTAAAGTGCTGCACCCTGTTGGTAATCCTTGTAACTTTAATGCTACTGAACATCATAGAAGGGTTGTTCTTGATGCTGGGAGAAGGGGGTTTTCTTACTTCGGGCCGGCTCAGTACAATCATAGACAAAAAGAAATAAATAGTACAATGCACTTCCTTGCAAGCTAAAGGCACTGTCTTACAACAGTTTTAAGAATCGCCTAAAGAGTTTGTAACTAATCTTATTTTGTTTCGTAGTTATAAGAGGTTTTATTTAGTTTAAGTCCTGACTTGAGTCAATTTGTAAAACAGTTTTGTAACTGAAATTCGCTCATGAATAAAGACCTTATTTATTTATAGAACAGAACTAACTTGTTTAATTGAAACAGCTGTTAAGATTCATTAATTCCTTTTAAATATGAAAAATCATAAGGTTAACATGGGAAACTCCGGAGCCCGAAAGCCTGATCAAATTAAAAACTACTTAGTTTTCCTATTTAATGCCCAAAGAATCGGTGTACCGAATTTCAGCCTCCTAGGTAAATGGGAAGTGGGAGAATTAGTGATGAGTGAGTGAGTGAGTCAGTCAGTCAGTGAGGGCTTTGCCTTTTATATATTTAGATTTTCAGACAAACGCTTTAAAAGGGTCGATTGTTAACAAATATCATGAGTATACATGATTGTCGAAAAGGGATTAACAATAGCTAGCATAGGCACAAATGGGAAGTTATGCTGTTCAAGGGTTTGGTATAAAACCGTTGGCTTTTGCCGAATCACACCCTTGCACATGTGTTAAGGATAACTTGAGCACATGTTTAAAAGCCTTTACACTCTTGTGAAAACACGTTCCGTTTTTTACTCTTTGCCGATGTGTGAAACTGGTTGTAAAAAATATATATTTGGATATTAAGTTCATATACTCGATGGGAAAGCTGCAGAAAAAAATACTATATCTCTGTGCCGTATATTTTGGTATATGTGTCCAAATAAATTTGAGATTTAACATTGTAAATTTGTATAATTGTAACTATTGAACTATTTTTGTTTATTTTGATTTTAAAGAAAAATATACATTATGCTCCTGCGTTAAATCTAATTTTTGTTAAATTAAAATTACACACTTCACAACAAATGAATATTCGTCGTAGATAAAGGGAGAGACTTCTTGCTATCCTGTTGTATTTATAACTAGACACACACCAAAATAACACCCTTTTCGGTAAATATTATTACAGTAATATAAATACCATATATTTTAATGAACAATAATGTTCTTAAACATTAGCGAATACACGGTTCAAACTCTATAGCGAGCATATAGCCGAAGTAGCCTACAAAACCGAATCTACAAAAAGCCTATAATTTATACAGTCAGTTACCCCTTCAAGAATTGCTGTTTTCTGTTTCTGTGTTCTGTTTTCTGTTCAAGAATTACTGTTTACTGTTTTTAAATACCATTTTAGGGTAAAAGTGTTACAAAAGTACAAGTGAAAGCGCCTGACCGGTCGTATGAATGAGTCTAGCTCTCCGTATTCCACCACCTCCTCGGCCCGGCCTGGTCGCCGACGTGTGGGTGCGGAATGCCGTCCACATTCCTGGGACTTATCTCCCATGACGTCATGGCCGGAGTCACTGAGGGTCCGGTAGCGGAAACCATAATGTCCTTGGCGCCGGCCGAGCGTCCGACATATTTTTTATGGCTGGGAAGGAACGAAAATGAAATTCTTTGCGTCCGGTCTGACTCCAGTCGGGCAGGCATGCATGAAACCTAGGACCGCCTTGAAAATGTAGTTTTGGGTACAAAAACGTCTAAAAGGTTATGTGTTGCGTTTTTCTAACTATTAAAATCCAATGGGTGTTTTTAAGGGATTTC